TCAAATAATATAAAAAATTCAATTACATTTTTTCAAAAAAATTAATTTCAAAATTCAATTATTTCTAAAAAAATTTTTTAATAATTGAATTCATTCCACGATTTCTAATAACATTTTTAAGAATAATTACATTTTCCAAGAAATTCGATTAAAATTGTATTAAAAATAATTAAAATTCTGCATTAAGTTATATTATCCATGAAAATAATTGAATTCCTAAGAAGAATTTTATTATATTTTAACATAATTAAATTTCTGCGAAGGATTTTATTACTCTTGAAAACAATTGAATTTCTTCAATAATTTGTAATTTCTCAAAAATTAAATTTTTTTTACTGTTAATTAAAATTTTTCTATAAATCCATTATTTTAAATAATTTTTTTAAAAATTTTTTAAAAATTTTCAAATTCATTCGTTTTTAACTGAAATTCATTTTTAAATCAATTTTTATTAGAAAACTCTACTAGAATTCAATTATTCAAATACAAAAAATAATTTATTATATATTTGAATGTTTCTTAAAATTGAATTGTGATAAAGGAATTTTCGAGGAATTCGATTAAAATTTTATTAAAAATAAAATTGAAATTCTGCAATGAGTTTTACATATTTATGAAAATAATTAAATTCCTAAATAGAATTTTTTTATTTAGAAAAATAATTGAATCCCTATTAAAATATTATTATTTATAAAAATAATTGAATTATATTGCGAAGAAATTTATAGAAAATATGTAAATAATTGAATTTCAGTGAAATTTTTATTATTTTATAAAAATAATAGATATTGACAATAATTAAATTAAGAAAAATTTTTGAAAATAATGGAATTTTGGAGAAGAATTTTACTATTTATAAAGATAATTGAAATTTTGACAAGAATTTTTAAAAATTTTTCAAAATAATTGAATTTCTGCTAAGAATTTTATGACTTTTGAAAATAATGGAATTTTTGCAATAATTTGTAACTTCTTCAAAATAAAAATTTTTTTTAGTGTTAATTTTTCTATAAATCTATTATTTTTAATAATTTTTGAAAAAATTTTTTGAGAATTTTCTAATTCATTTGTTTTTAACTGAAATTCAGTTTGAAATCAATTTTTATTAGAAAATTCTACTAGAATTCAATTATTTAAATACAAAAAAAAATTTATTGAATATTTGAATGTTTCTTAAATTTGAATTTTTATAAAGAATTTTAGAAACAAATTTTTAAATAATTTAATTTGTTTGACTTTAATAAAATTTTTAATAATAATTACATTTATTGAAGAATTCGATTAAAGTTTAATTTAAAATAATTTAATTTCTGGCATGATTTTTACTGTTTATGAAAATAATTAAATTCCTAAAAAGAATTTTTATTTAGAAAAATAATTGAATCCCTATAAAAATTTTATTATTTATAAAAATAATTGATTTATATTGCGCAGAAATTTATAGAAAATATGTAAATAATTGAATTTCTGTGATATTTTTATCATTTTATAAAAATAATTAAATGTTTGCGTAGAATTATATATTAAATTTTTTTTAAACAATTGAATTCTTTTGGAAAATTTTATTAATCTGGTAGATATTAAAAATAATTGAATAGAAAAAATTTTTTTAAAGTAATTGTAATTTTACCAAGAATTTTATTATAATTTTTGAAAATAACTGAATTTTGGATAAGAATTTAATTATTTCTAAAAATAATTGAAATTTCGACGAGAATTTTTAAAAAATTTTGAACTTAATTGAATTTCTGTAAAGAATTTTATTACTTTTGAAAATAATTGAATTTCTGCAATCATTTGTAATTTCTCTAAAATTCTCCAAATTATATCGTACAATTTACGAACTTTTTGTCCTTTTTTAATCAAATTATGGACTTTACGGACCTTTTTTTTTTAAAAAAAACTAAAATTTACGGACTTTATGCAAATTTACGGGATTTACGGATCTAGTTCGAGCTTTGTAGTAACCATACAATAATATAATGTTAAAAAAATTATTTCACGAAATTTATATTCTTTCTAATTAAAAATCACTAAAATTTATTAGAATTCATGTAGAAATTCTATAAAATCGTTCTAGTGTTATTTGAATCAAATTAATTTTGTTTCAATATACCAGTAATTGAACTTGGTACTAACGCAATTTATTAAAACTTTTAATAAATAAATAAATAAATAAATAAATAAATAAGTTCAATTATAATCACTAAAAAATCGTATTATAGAAATTCTGTTGTTAATTTGTTTATTATCTTATGTTGTTATTTTGTCGTTAAATGAATTATAAAATATAAATTATATTATTATATTATAATATAATTTTTTACAATGATTTAACAGTAACAATTATAATTTTGCAACATTTCACATGGACCTAATAAAGTATAGGACAGCTATTTGAAAATTTTTACTGCACACTTTAAACTGTCAACTCAAAATGCATAATTTGATGATATAAAATTTTCTAGAGTAGAATAAAACCATTAATAAAATGACCATTATAAAATGACAACATTTGAGTAGCAAAGCGGAAGCTGTTTATCATAAACATGACATAATCGAGTCATGTGGATCGTTATAGAAATAATTTCATTAAAAAATAATTTAATCTAAAAAATAATTACTTTAGAACATTTATTTCCTTTTTTAGTTTTTAATTCTTGTATTTAATTTATCTGGAAAATTTTTTTCCAAATACAGTAATTAGGTATTTATATTTTTATGAACTGAGAATTTAAATACAAATATTCATTTGGCAAATATTTTTATTTTCCCTTCTTCGCTTATTATTGACCAAACAAAAATACGTATATTAGAAACAAAGTTTTCAGTCATAATTGCATAAACAAAATCTATGTAAATTTTGATAAATATTCAAAAGACGTTGTTCAATCATTTGAAATTGCAGATGATTTCAAACTACTTTCTAAAGCATTGAGTGTAACAATAATATCTTCTAAGAATCGTGACATGCATTGAAATCCTTGTGTATCGACCACATTAGAGGGAATTTTTTTTCTTTTTTCACCATTCTTATCAATTTTCAAAAACAAATAAATTTTACAATTGTAAAAACAAAAAGAATGTTTCGTTCTTTAAGCATGCAGAGAGTAAAGAACAAAAAGTTGTAATGTTTTGGACAAAAATTATTTTCAAATGCAAAAAATATTTTTCTTTGAAAAAAAAAAGTTTTAGTAAAAAAAAATTCTTGCATTTGAAAATTATTTTTTTTCTTTTTAACTGCTTTAATTAAAATATAATCAATTCAATAAAAATATGTATCGCAAATTATATTTCAATAGTGAAATTACTTCAATTTCTCTAAATGATGAAATGAAAAGAATGACTGTTCACTATTGTTTACACTAGATACACAAATATGTGTGTGACAAATTTGCATGAATCATATTTCTATATCTTCATGATTCGCATTTAGTTAAAAATTATTATTCAAGGCGGAAAGAAAAAAAAATTCAACAAAACAATGTAAAGATTAAATTTTTTTTTAAATTCCCCAAACATTTTTTTTACAAAGTTTTTTGCGAATGATAATTTTTTCCTCCTTCAAGCAAAAAACTAGAAGTATTTTACTTCTAACGATATGTAAACACTATTGAAAAATGTTCCTTCGTCATTAAATGGAAAATTATTTTTTTTATAATCCTCTAAATAAATAAAATAATTTTTTTTTATTATTTTATTCTTTTACTAATATTTTATTAGAATATGCAAATTGTGTTTCTATAATTTATAATTATTTTTTTCGCACTTGCAATTCATAAAATAATATTTATTAAAATTTAATTTCATAATTTATTTTTTTTACAATAAAATTTATTATTGTTCAAGTAATTATACGCCCGTTTTTTAATTATCTTTTAAATTATTTTTTATTTATTACCAAATGTTACATATTTATTTTTTATTATTCAGCTTTTTTGTTTTGTTTTTTTGTTTGTTTTGTTATCTTGCTTATTTTTGTCTTTTTTTGTTATTATTTGTTTTCATTGTTTTTTTCTTTGTTTTTGATATTAATTATTATATATATTTATTTATTATTAATTATTAATTATTAATTTATTATACATTTGTTATAAATTATATATTCATTTGTTATTTTTTATTTACTATTTTTTATTTATCATTAAATATTAAATATTCACTTGCAATTAATTTATAAATTTTTTTATCAATTGTCACACATTTCCATTACCTGTTTATAAACAGTTTATCACGAAAAAGAATACTTAGTTTTTAATTGCTTTTAATAAACATTATAAGTAAAGAAACGTTAAAAATTAAATAATTTAACAATTGTGAATCATCACAGTTTAAAAAAATTATTTTCTAAATTACTTTTTATGATTATCAGTTACTGCATTTTTCCTAGTAGAAAAAAAAAGATAAGGAAAAACTTTAGTTTTGTTTATGACTAATGATGAGATCATAAATTTTCAATTTTTAAATGCGAAAAAAAATTTCACTAATAATAACAAAAAGACTTCATTGTAAAATTATTTGCACACATTATTTATGTTGATATTATCAAATTAATTATTTTGCAATTTTTTTTTGTAAACATATATTATAAATTACTTGATCCATTACTTTTTTTCAAATTAATTATTATTCAGAAAATTCAATATTCTTCATAATTTCCTTATAGGCTTTTTTTTATTTTGTTCTTCAAAAAAAAAGATACTTTTCTTGAAAAACTTGTTATCTTACGATTTTATTTTTGCATAATTATTATTGTATTAATTAAGGTCAATACGAGGCAAACCGCACACTTTCGCTTTTTGGACTAAATTTCCAAAAAAAATATTTTCACACTTTATCCGGTAATTTTTTTAAATCGCACTTTTAAAAAAAATATACACATATTCTTCTGACTGGTAATCCTAAAACAGCACGTGTATGAAAAGAAAAATTCAAAATTCATAACCAGGGAATGTTTCCAAAAAAAAATGAAAATAAAAAAATATTCAGTCTCTACTTACTTTCGATAACCAATGCCATGATCAAAAAAGCAAAGAAAGAATAAACTGTGGGACCGTGAGACAATAATTACAACTGTGGTAGCAAAATTTCGACACGATCGTTTTTATTTTTATTTTTTTTTTAACAGGTTGGAGGCGAACAACACGCGAACGAGGTTCCCCCTTCGAATATACGACCAAAATGCTGATGCGACTTGTCTGGATCTACTCTTTATATGAACGTTCGTTGCTCAAGGCTTGGGAAAACCGTATAGAGGAATCAAGTCTCTTTTTCGTCGAGTTATGATTTGAGCAAAACAGAACGCAAAAAAAAAAATTAAAAAACAGAGAATGAAAAAAAATTAGAAAAAAATTATATATTACTATGAGAGAAACGAGTTCAGAGCTTACGACTTGCAGTTAATTTTATTGTCTTTTATCCTGTCGCGTGTATCAAGGAGAGTATTATATACATATAAGGTCAAATAAACAAGGCAATCTGTATGAAAAATGACTGTAAGTATCCTGTCAAGGAATATATGGAAATTTGGAAAATTATCCTCATTATAAGATCAGTTTTTCATTTTACTGACAATTTTGTATTCATACGTGAATTTAATGAATTTATTCTTATTCACTGAAAATGAGACTAAAAACAATTTTTTGAGGGGAAAAATTAATTTTCTTCATTTTTGACTTTTTTTGCTTGTGGCTAAGAGGGTTAAGACACGCTCTGGTAACTCTCACGGGGTTCGATTCCCAGCAAGAATTTGATTTTCTTTATTCACTTAAAATTTTTCTAATTCTTTTTTTAAATTATCTACTGATTTTTGCAATAATTCGTTTCATTTATGAGGGAAAATAGTTCGAACAAATAAATATGATAATATAAATTTATTTTCTACTACAATTTTTTGCAAAAATGTCTATTAAAAAATTTAAATAATTGTACATTAATAATAATTAATAGCAACAATGGTTCTAATAATTTTTTAACATTCGAAAGCTTTTTTCTGTTTCATTTTTCTTCCTTGTGGATAAGAAGGTTAAAAAAGCACAAAAAAAGTACTTTAATAAAAAAAGCAAAAAGTATTCTCACAGGGTTCGATCCCCAGCCCAAAATTAAATTTTTTCAAAAAGAATTGCAGAGGAAAATTTCCTAATGATTTTTGTAAAAAAATTAGTTTTAATCGTTAGTAAAACTATTGGTAACGAATAAATATAATGTAAATCTTTAATTTTTTCTGCTGTAAATATTTTCAAATATTTCTAGTACTAAATTAATAATAATGTAGTACTAAAAACTATAATCAAATTTAATTAACTATGAATATAATTATAAAAAACTAATGAAAAATTTTCTAGAAATTCGAAAGTTTTTCAATTTTCTTTTTCTTTTTTGTGGCCGAGTGGGTTAAAGCACGCTTTGGAAAAAATATGGACTAGGTTCGATTCCAAACGAAGGGTTCAATTTTTTTTTTGCTAAAAAAATTGTAGAAGGAAATTTACTAATTTCTTTTATGAAAACTAGTTTTATTCATTAAAAGTATTAACGATAACAAGTTGAATGTAGTAATTTAATTTTTTAATTTTATTTCTACTTTGGATTTTTTAAAATATTTTTACTATTAAAAAATAGTTGAATTATAGTTGAATATTATAAGTTATAAACATAATTATAAATAATATGAAATTTTTAAAAAATTAATAAATAACTTTTTAAAAAATTCAAAGGCTCTTTGGTTTTTGATTTTTATTTCTTATGGCTAAGTGGATTAAAGCACTCTCTGAAAGAAAAAAACACCTCGGGGTTCGATTCCCGGCGAAAGGTTTAATTTTTTTTTTTTTAAGAAAAATTATAAAAGAAAATTTTCTAATCACTTGTAAAAATACAAAAAAGTAATAATTAAAGTTTTTTAATTTTTTTCATTTCAATTTTTTGCAAATTCTCTAATATTAAAAAATTAGAATATTTTGCTTTGAATGTAATTAATTTTGAAAATATAATTACAAAAACAGATGATATTACAAAAACTAAGGTATAATTTTCTAAAAATTCAAAGGTTTTTTCAATTTTTTTTTCTCGTAGCTAAGTGGATTAAAGCACGATTTGGAAATAATACGGAATAGGTTCGATTCCTAGTGGGAGGTTCAATTTTTTTTTCAGGAAAAATTGCAAAAAATTCCTTTTAAAATAGTTTCATCATAACATTAATTAATTAATCAAATTTTATAGTTCTAGTCAAAGAGGTGTAAAATAATAAATAATAAATTTTCGAAAAGTAAAAAAATGATTTGTAACAATTTGAAATTTAGTAGATTACAAAGTAAAAAAAGAAAACATTTTCTTGGAATTCTTGAGCACAGTGCAATAATTCACAACGTTTTACCGACTTTAATATGTAAAAATGCGACTAAACAACAAAAGCACTTTGCCGCGTAAAAAAACTAAAAACCACCTGCATACTAATGCGCCGATTAGAAAGAACGCAATTTTCTAAATTTATATATACAAAAAAAAGTATCGATACATGCAAAAAGTGCGCTCAATTTTATTCTAGAGACAAAAATCTCATTGAATTACAGTATTTTATGATCATTTTTCCTACTTTCTAAAACAATAAAAGAAAATCTAATTATTTCCACAAAATCTTGCACGCGAAATTGTTTTTTAAAATCATAATAAATAAAATTAAATAAAATTAAATAGATTACATTAAATTAAATAGAATAAATTAAATCAAATAGATTAAATTAAATTAAATAAATAAAATTAAATAAAAAGTGAAACATAATTAAATAAGAATTTTAAAAATTAATTAAATAAATTATCCTTATAATGTTACTCTTTCTTTATAAAAACAAAGAACGAATAAGGAATTTCATTTTATTTTCAAAATAATCGCCTTATTTACAATTTAAAAAATAAGTTTTGATAATATTTTTGTTGATTCGTATTTTGTCGACATTAGTATTTTATTCTTACGAAATAACATGATTTCTTAATTTATATATTAAAATAAAAATTGTAAAATAAATCTTCATGGACATTAGAAGGACATAGATTTTATAGCTCTTTATAATTTCTCTCTCTCTCTCTCTTTCTCTCCCACTCTCTTTCTTGCTTTTTCTATCTTTCTTTTTTAAAAGTAATATCAAGGTTATTTGCTGTTTTTATTTGATGAAATGATATTCATTTTGGTTTTTTTTTTTTACCTTTTTTCTTTTTGATTTAAATAAATTCTTATTCATTAAATATAATTTCGTGAAATTTTAAACGTGATGAAAAAAAAGCAGAACATATTTCTGAAAGTCAAATGACTGACATTTTAAGAGTTTAAAGTTCGCTGACGATATATTAGAAAAAATGTGACTAATTTTTGAATTAAGTAAAAAATAAAAAATAGAAAAAAAACCGGTCTTGATGTTAGATGTTTGAATCGAAATCGTATTTTGTAAATAATTGATAATTTTTTTTTTTAATTGCGATAGAATTTAATTCATGTTTGTTTTTTTTAATTGTAACATTTTTCTGTATTCTGAATTCTTTTCGAAATTATTAGAGAAGAAAATATTTTATTTACATATTATGATTACAATATTATTCATAGTTAATAAACAGAAAATTTTTTATAAAATATAATATAATAATCTAACAATAATTTAACAAAGTTTTTTTATTTAAAAATTCGAAATATTTAAAATCTGTTTTTAAATTTTAAATATAGTGTCAAATAACAAAATCAAATTTTAATATTATTTTATACTGACTTGTATAATTAATAATTATAAATAAATAATATTTTAAAAATTGTTAATATAGCTCCAACTAATATAAAAAAGTTAAAAATATTATTTTTAATATTCTAAATATTATTTCGACAATTTTTTCAGTTTTAGTTAGAATATTTTCAATTTTTATTAAAAATGGAAATATTATTCAAACAAAGAAATATAGAGAAATTTTAGTTTTGAAAGAAGATACAAAAATAGTTCACGTTGATATCATTCAATTTTCCTGTTCTGATACTGTTCTACCATAGTGGTAGAAACTATTTCTACTTTAGAATTTCGTCTGTCCATTTAGACTCTTGAATCACTTGAGAAAATGCTTTCAATCCTTTTCTATTCTCCTCTAAAATTTTCCCTTGTCTTTTAAACTTTGACATTTTTTCTTTAATTTCACTTTATTTCTCTCAATCTCTTTGAGTGGATTTTTGAAATTTCACATTTTTCAAAAATAAATACTTCAGTATTATTTTTTATTTTTTTCATAAATCATTTTATCGAAGTGTATAATATTAAATTTTTAAATAACTTTTCAATATTTTCTTGTAAATAAATAAATAGTTGAAAAAAATTGAAATAAAAACAAAAGTTTTTTTTAAATATGAAAATATATAATTATATACAAATATAGAAAATACTTGATTTTATTTTTAACTTAATCTTCTTTTCTCGCAGCAATGAATGTTAATTAATTTACTAAATTATATTTTATCGTGAATCAAAATCCTTGAATAATTTTTATTCCCCAATGAATTTTGATTAAAAAATCAATCATCAAAAATAGAGAAGATAATTTATTCTTAGCGTCAGGAAAAAAAAAACTTTTATGAAAATCGCATTTCAATTAATTTCAAAGATCATTGAACGTTATTAAATTAAAAAATTTCAAAATTCATCTGCTGTCAATTTTTCAAATCACTCTTTGAATTCAAACACAATATTAATTCCAAATATGGTTTGACGAACAACATTTGATTGATATTTCTTTGAGCATCAAAATTTTTTCAGTGGATCCAATGAAATATTATTTCCTTCTCTCAATCAAAAATTATTAAAATTCAAAAAAAGATGTTATTACTTGAATTGAAAAAAATTATTATTTATCTATTTATATATTTATAATGTATAATAAATTTAATAATTTATACCTGAAATATTTCAATGAAAAAGTGGAAAAATTCGAAAGAAATATTCCATCTACATTTTAAGTTAATTAAAATATCAAAGTTTTTGGAATATTCCCATCAAAATAGTGAGGGAATATTCCACTGGAATTTTGAAAAATATTTTATTAATACTATTATCATTATTATTATTGATGTTCTGTTGATCAATTTTCGCGCTATTTAAATAAATTATTAATTTATTGTAAAATAAATTGATAATTTACAACTTTTTCAGTTCAATGAACTGAAAAAGTAAATTTAAAAAGTAATATTCCATTAAAATATTCCTGTAATATTTCATTAGAATATTCCATTATAATATTCCATTAGAATATTCCTATAATATTCCAATAAAATATTCTTATAATATACCAATATTTCATTGGAATATTTTGAAGCTAGAATGTTTTCAAATTCCTAAAGTGTGGATGGAACATTCCTTTGCAATATTCCCTGTCAGTTTCAATGAAAAATTCCAGGAATATGAATAGAATATTTCATGCAATTGGAGTAAATAAAAAAACAATATAGTAAATAATAAATTTTTAAAATATATTTTAAATCTTTCAAATCAATTAAATTTCAATTAAATTACAAATTTGTTGTAACGAGAAAAATTTTATGAAAAACATTAACTAGGTTTGTAAATCATAATCAATCTCAATATAACAGAATATTCCATACAAAC